GGTGTTAAAAAATTCAGTGTTTAAAATTCGGTGTTAAAAAAATTCAGTGTTTAAAATTCGGTGTTAAAAAAAAGGCAGATTCCAATGAGAGAGTTTTTCTTCCATAGTTCAACCCCACAACCTTAGACTAACCCGGGAGGGTCCCAAAGTGAGGGTCAGGTGAAAGTGAAAAGAAAACCTTGTCAAGTAAGAGTGTGAGCTGTTGGCTCAGTTGTTTCACCCAGTCTAATAAGAAGAAAAACTCTAATAGCTGTCTGTTAGTAGCTAACTGACGTTTTGTAATTCTGTGTAACAAAAAAAACCTCCTCATTCAGCCGGTTGATCAGATATAAAGTAGGCTGATTTACATAAAATGGACTCCAAGTTTGACAAAAACAATAATAGTGCGTCGTTGCCCAGGTAACTATTGTTTAAAACAAACTAGGTTTAGCTAAAAATTTCACTCAAGAGTAGCGACATTTGACTACTATATTACTGAAGTTAAAGTAGAAAGAACGGTGAAGAAAAACTACATGTAAACGTGTAATAATATTTAAAAAAAGTTAATTAAGTAAATGTAACTAGTTACTACCCACATCTGCATAATTTTCAAACTGGGAGTCAATATTTGTTTCCATTCCATTTGATTGAAGAGCTAGTTTATTTTAGGTTTAACCTTTTTCAGCTGAGAAATTCAGATAGAATGAGTTTTAAATAAATATCTTGTATCTAAAATGATGTTGAATTTCATGCTTAGAAGAATCGTGCTTATTTTGCATGGTTAAATGGATTATTTTTGTTTTCTCATTATATGCTGAGGCTGTTGAGGCATTTCTGAGGCCATTATTAAAAATATCTCTGTTTCTGTTTAGCTTTAGTTTTTTCCCCCCCTAAAGAATCAGCAGGATATTTTATCCTTCTGTGTTTCTTGTTTATTAGAGCAACTTTCAGGAAATAGATGTTTTGTCTTGTAATGATGCACCAGATCAGTGTGAGCAAGTCAGGCAGCCCTCGAGGTCCAGCTTAATCATCTGGGCCTGGTGAAAGTCTTTGAAAATCCTTTGTTTACTTCTGCCTACAGACATATCTGAAATCAGACATGAACTCCTAAGAGACGATGCTCCCTTATCATTCACTGGGGAACCATTGTGGCTCCCTGGGCAGGAAATAAAAACTCCAGTTAGATTAATAACATCATTTCCAGTCAATCATGACATAAATATGTGGAACCTAAAGAAAGCACAAAGTGTATTTTTGCCTATTTCTATATGTCAACTAAAAGCAAAACTGATTTTATTGATCAAAAAGAGAAAAATATAAAGCAGTTACCATAAAACAATCCTTCCTTTATCACTTTCAGTTAGATTTGTGCTGCTGGTACTTAAGGACAGTCCCAGAAAACGTGCATCATACTAATAACGCTTACTTAGTAGTTTTTTATTTATTTTTTAAAGATCTCTCCCTACGTTTATCTTTTGTAAAAAGAAGTTAATTTAACTGTACAGTCTTTTCCGCCCTCATATTAGACTCACATCCAGCGCCTCCTGCAGCTTCTCTGCTCCTCCTTGCAGGTTTTCCGTTTCGTCCAGTTTCTGCTCCAGCTGATCCAGGAAGGCGTTTTCCTGCTCCAAGTAGGACAGTAACTCACACCAGCATGCCCAGACCTCCTTTAAAACCACAGAAACAGGAAAAAGTCAGAAGATTGGAGATCATACAGATTATATGTTGGTGTAAAAGGCAGCAGGATGCAGCTAATCAAATGTTAACACTAAGGTATCATCAGCAAATGTGAGTACCAGTCCAGACGGGATATCAGGTCTCCGTCTGATAACTGTTACATCTGGATTTAGCTCTGGACTTTGAATTGGCCATTTTAACCAAAGACATTTTGATCTAAATCATTTAGAGATGTTTCTCTACAAACACAACTAATGTTAACCTGACTCCGCATATCCATCTGGAAACCTTCCGTTGAAGT